GCTTGCTTATTCGATCGATTCTGGTTCTATCCCGTCTTGCTATTGATGTGTCTTTCTTTTCTTGGTGGCTATATGAAACCACTTGTATGGAACGCCCTTGTTGGGGCTAGCTTTTTTTTGACATGATCTTGGCTCTTAAGGCACTGTCTAGTTGTTGATCTTTTTTACGAGTGTTTCGGCCTCTTGATTCCTCCAACAAGTGATGGATAGACACATTCAAGCTGTCTCTCAATTTTCAGCTCGAACAAACATTGCTTCTCAATTTTATTATTATTTTTTTATATTTTTTGGCTAGAACGCCCTTTTCGGGTTTTCATTCTAGCAGCTTCTTAACAAGCAATGTTTCTCTTCTTGTTGAAATCACTTTTCGAGAAAACTCTATTCACTTTTCCTTAGTGTTTGAGTTCGTCCTCCTCAGGTTCTCTTTATTAGCTTGCAACTCGTGGACGTTCATGATCAACCCCTTGGTGGAAGGAGTCCATCACCTTCCTTCATAATTGATGACACGTCAGCAAGGTTGTTTCCACCCTTCATATCTTATAAGATTGCATGCTCTAACACATCAAATTAGTTGTGATGTTGTGTATCCTTTATAATTGTTTTCAGATCACGTTTCAAACAGAGTGAATTCAAATTTTGAATCTTTAGACCTCGTTTAGGTTTCTGAACAACTAACTAATCCCCATGCAAAATATTGGGCCCTTGATTCTCGCCAAATAATAATGGGGATAGGTTTGAATACTGAACACCCTTTTCATTATCCATTGTCACCATCGCCATAAGGTGGTTGGTCACTGCCGCCACTACTAGATTACCAGACTCCGCCTATTAGTTTGCTTGCTCCCTGAGAGGAGGTTTCAAACTAGGGCATGATTGCAGACACCCAATTTCATTTGGGGGCACAAAAACAAAGGAATGGACTTTTAGCATGAAGAAGAAGCTCTCGAAGGCCTAAAAACAACAGTAGAATAGGCTAACATGACATCCAAAGATCCAAAAAACCAAGTTCCATAATTAGTAGCCTGGAACGGGTCGTTCCCAAACCGAAACAGGTCGTTCCAAGCTTAGAAAAAGGCATATAACCCTAGGTTAGAACACCCCATTCTAACCTAGTCTGTTATGTGTAAAATTCAAATCTGGAACGGGCAGTTCTGCTTCGGGAACGAGCTGTTCCAAATTCAAATTTTACACAAAACAAAAAAGTCCAGAATGGCCTGTTCCAAAATCGGAACGACTCGTTCTGGTGAATTTTCGTGCCTATAAATAGCAGGCTCATGCACAGTGCCTGGGGCCAGAAATTTAGTCTTTGAATAGTCCCCCTAAATTCTAGAATTATTCTATCTTTTTTATTGTATTTCTTAAGATTTGTGAGGCATTATGAAGTGTGAAGGATAGCCAAAAAGCACCTCAAATTTACTACATTGGAAGTATTCATAAAAAGCTCATTTTAAGAGGTACCTTTCTTTATCATTTATTCTTTCTATCATAAACGAAGGCAATCATGTAGGCGTTTTAGGACAAATCGTGTAAACATGTAAATAATTATTAATAAAAGAGAGCCAAATATTTAAATTATTATTTACAATTGCGCTAGTTTTGTATAGGGTATCGATTCAGGGTGTAATAGAGTGCCTAACACCTTCCCTATGTGTAATCGACCCCTGAACCCAATTCTGGTTGTAAACACCACAAGAAAAATCAGCATTATCTACGGAAGAATCGTAGATAAGCATGAAAATCCATAGGTAAGGGTTAATTATCTACGGAAAAAAATTCGTACGTAATAAGGTTGTAGATAACATTATCTACAGAAAATTTTTTGTAGGTAACTTACCTATGAGAATTTTTCCTTAGGTAACGTTACCTACGAAAAATTTTACATAGATAACCCACAAAAGTTATTATCTACGGATTTTTTCCGTAGATAACCCACAATAGTTTTTATCTACGAATTTTATCTATAGATAACCTTCAAAAAAAAATTTGTTTAATTTTAATAAATTTATTAATGTAACAACCCTCAGATTTAGCCTCTCAAGGATGCTAGTTCATGTTACTTCACTTTTCAACGTATTTTGTCCTTACTGCACATTTTCTAGGAAACTTCCCAAAAGATCACCCATCCCTATATTACTCCAAGTCAAGCACGCTTAACTGAAGAGTTTTGATGAGATAAGCTACTGAAAAGTAAATGCATGTTGTTAGTATAAGTAGTACAAATTAATTAATTTAAGTCATTCTCAACTATACAATCTTATACTATTTTTGGACCCCTCTCATTTTGGTGTGTCTAGACCACTATAAAAATATAAAAATATATATAATAATTATATTATCAATAATAATAATTATATTATATTTAATTAATCTTTATTTATATATATACTTACTTGTATAATTAACAATCTACTTATTTTTATTTAAAATTAATATTATGATACAATTTAAATTATTTATTATAAATTTAAAAGTTTAAATAATAATTTATATATTTTAAAATGATAAGGGTTATAATAACACCGGTGTAACTTTCACTAAGTATTACACTCCTCAATAACTTTATATTAAATGTGAATTTCGTAAATCCAACCGTTAGATTGAAAGTTCATACCACTTTATATGTTTATATCAATTTTTGTTAAAATTGAACAACAACTTGAAGGTAATCAAAGTGTTTATATTTTAGTATATTTTGAAATGTATATATTACGTTAATTTTTTTTTATAAGAATGAAGTATCAAATCATCTTGAATTAATATAAAATTTTGTATATATGAGCTAAGAGTAAAAAACTTTCAATCTAACGGTTGAATTTATAAAATTCACATTTAATATAAAGTTATTGAGCGGTGTAATACTTAGTAAAAGTTACATTGGTGTTATTATAACCATTATCTTTTTAAAATATTATTTTTATAAATTAAAATTTATTATTTTAAATAAATTATATTAATTAACTTAATATATTTATTCATCTTAAATCTATGATGTAAAATTCAAAAAATGTCTTTATTCTTGTTTTATTTTCTAATTATCAATCATTAATAAAATACTAATTTAAAATCTTATCTAATTACATCATAATATTTTCATATCAAATTTAAAACCAAATATTAGTATGTTATTTTTTATCATCATTAATTTATAAAAATAAAAAATTTAAAATGAAAATATTTAATAATATTTTTTTATTACCAAATATTTTTTACATCACTTAGATAACTAAAAAATTATCTACAAAAAAAATTTCGTAGGTAATATTTCGTAAATAACTAATTTCGTAGGTAATATTCCGTACATAACTAAACATTATCAACGAAAAAAATCCCGTAGGTAACATTCCGTAGATAACTAATTCCGTAAGTAATATTCCGTAGATAACTAAACATTATCTATGAAAAAAATTTCGTAGGTAATATTCCATAGATAACTAAAAATTATCTACAGAAAATTCCGTAGGTAATATTCCATAGATAACTAAACATTATCTACACAAAAAATTTCGTAGGTAATATTCTGTAAATAATAACAGTTTTTCTTGTAGTGAAAGGCCGTTTTGGTATTTTAAAACTCTCTTCTTTTTTTTTTGATGTTTTGAGTAAAACATCGATGGCGACTCCATAAACCCTCTTCAAAATTATTAGTTAGGGATTAATCTGGTGTTCAGGCATTCTCTAATTGATGAGATTTTCAGAAAGGAAATCTAAATCATCTATGGGCAATATCGAAATATTTTGGGTTTGGACAGATGACAACTCTACTAAGGAAGCTTAAAGAGGGTCAGACCCAATTAAATGATGAAAATAGAGAAATAAGAATAATAGTTCAAATATTGGTTCCCTTTACTTTGTTTGTTTTGCATGTATTTACTTTGATGGCTTTATATCAATATGTTTGAAATAAACAATTGCGCACAAAACCTTGCACACAAAAGTTTCCTCTATATCTGAGGGCATGAGGGCATAAACATAGGAAGTGATTGACATACGACTGGTCCAAGTATGGCCTTAGAGCTTGCGAGCCTTATCGAAAACCACACTCAAGGTGATTACCGATTACTTTAATTCAAAATACTGCGACAAACCTTAGAATTTACTAGGTGACGGTGACAAAGATACTGAGTCCCTATAATAGGGATACCTTGGGGGCCTTAAAAACTAGTAAGGATTAGGTCCATCTTCTCATGATGCAGCTCTCGACCTTTCCTACTCAATACTTTATCATGGAATGAAACCGGTGGAGCAAGAATCTCACCTCCATCCAACAATTTGGTGAGAGGTGGTTTTTTTTTTGATAAGCTTGGTGAGAGGTGGTTGATTCATCAGAAAGTCTCTAGGTCAAGTTTACATGTAATACACAACTCTTATATGTTTCTTAAATAATTATTTTTTTCAAAACACTTGTTTAGAAACACTTCTTTTTGAGTTTAAACAAAGAAACTTTTTTATTATATAATTTTTAATTTTAAAATTTAAATATTTATTCATTTAAAATCAATTTTTTATAATATAAATTAAATTGTTTTATCTAAACTAAAAAATTAAAATTAAAATTGATTTATCCAAACAAAGTACTTAATGAATAATAAAAATTGAAACCAAAAAAATTCAAATTTCAAATTCTTTGAATTTCTAAAATTACTTATCCAAATACAATATAGGTCAATAAGAAGTCGATGTGATTCATTTGATCCTAACATGTTGCATCAATGATGCACTTTGTATCATCATGGCTTCTTTTGTGTAACTTTTTAGGAAGAAAAATACTAGAAAAATTAGGTCAAGAAATTCAAGATAGAAATAAAAAACTAATATTTATTTGACTTCAAAAAAACGAGTGATAACTTGAACTTACAATTAGGAGTGGTGTAAATAGGCCTGATTTTTTTTATTTTCTTGTAGTTAAAGGTATACTATTTTGACTAAGAAAACAACACAAAATAAAGCAGCCAGATCTTGCAGTTTGCAAGTAGAGAAGTTTTATAGAATGAGAGAGAGTGTAGAGACAAAGTGTAGAAATGCCCACAAACTATTTACTGCGGAATTTCCAGAATACCACCTACTGGAGCTTCAACTTCTTTACAAATATATGAGCAACATGGCTTATCTCAGGTATCTACATGTGGATGTGACTTATTTGCAGGATTTTCAGTTCAAATAAGTATACGCCAGTAGTATGTTGCAACAATTTATAAATAATGAATTTCAGAGTAATTTAAATATACCATCTCTTTTAGATATTACTTTTGGTAACTGTTGTTGCTCCTCCACGCACATAATGAATACAATTTTGGCACTGATCATCTAGTTTGCATCAGGATTTCAATATGAATGGTTGTTCTAGTGACTAGGATTCTCAAAGCTCTTTAGCTAATTTAGATATTTACAGGCAATGCTATCTGACCAACCCCTTTTTTCCAGGTGCAACTTGGACAACCAAAGGACTAGTGACTTGTGATCTTCTATTTCTCCATGACAAGAACCCAAATGCATACCCCTTTGAGGGATCAGTTACTTTGAAATTCACAGTGAAGTTGATTTTCTGCCCAATTCTTGTGAAGATTAACCTGTTAGGTATAACACTGATATTAACACCAGGTGGAGAAGACACTACAGCTCTATAAACATTTCTTGGTTTGCCAACATTGGTCACAATCCTAGAAACTGAAAAGTTGTCTTTAAGATTTGGCACTGCAATGGAAGGGTAGTTGAGGTCAGATGCTGTACTGAATGCCCTGTCACATGTGCTGTTGTCTCTTGTAACTTGATGGAGTGACCTCTGATCATAGCCCACTGAACACAGGAATGCAACAAAATCTGCTGGCTCTGAGTCATAGATGAGACCAGGATCAAGAACTCTAGCAGGGTTCACAAACCCTGATCCGTAATCAAATGCATTAGCCCATCTTTGTTCTGGATCTGCAATGATGGGTCTGTGGTGCTTATCCAGAATTGTGGCTGCATAATGAATTTATGATTAGTTTCCTGAGTGGAAGTAGCAATGATGGGTCTGTGCATATGTATCACAATAAATGTTAACCGCACACTCTTAAATGTTCTTTTCAACATACTCCTTATTATTAGGTGAAATTCATTAAATGATAGGAGTTCCACCCCTTGTTTAACGGGTTTGATTCAATACAAATCCTTAACGAAGAGTATATTCTGAAGTTTGTTGGAGAATATGTAGCTAGCTTTTCTCAACAAATCATTTTATTTCCTTTTGGTGACATAGTATAGTAGTATTTTTTTATAATGTTCAGTTTCTAGTTTTGTAGATATTGAAAGATGGAATTTGATCTATTATGGAGTTTTAATATCAGTATTACCAGTGGTCATGATGGCAGATTTGATAGCAGATGGAGACCATGAAGGATGGACAGCTTTGACTAAGGTTGCTATTCCGGTTACATGAGGACAAGCCATAGAAGTTCCTGAGAGAATGTTGAACATATTTCCAGCTGCTGGAGACCATGCTGCAAGGATATTTAGTCCTGGAGCTGTGACATCAGGCTGCATAGCAACAACAACATGATCAGAAGTCCAAGAATGAAGTAAAAAATAATAGAGTAAGTTAACACAAGTACCACTTGAAGTTTCATGAGATTGCACAAATACCCTACTTTTTTTATCCCTATAATAATCCCCTTAATTATTTGAAAAATATTACACTAATATTCCTTAAACATTACATTAACTCTCTTAATTATTTGAAAAACATAACACTGGCAAGGAGGTTCATGGAAACGTTACAAAATAGAAGGGAGTGTTGGTGCAATTTCATAAAATTTAAGAGTGTCAGAGTAATTTATTCTGAATAATAATGAATATGATTATAATTTATAAAGAAGCTAAATCTGGAACATAGAAATTCAATTGCATATTAATGAAAACTTCACCTTCAGAATTTCTGGGTTTAAAGAATTGGGGCCTTTAGAAGAAAATGCTGCCACACGTGGTGCAGGATGTGCTCCTAGAACTGTCTTGGCTCCAAATATCCTTGACACTGGCTTACTGTTCAGTATATAACAGGATGCAAAGTTAGATTTTGAAGAATGAAAGTAAAACAAGACTACTTTGCAGAAATGTCATTATTTTTTATTCTCAAAATACAAAACAAACCGTGTAGTCTTGAGATAGGATAGAATCTGTTCCCCTGTTTTCTTTCCAACAATAGCTGAAGGGATCACAAATGGGATGGCAACATCTTGATCTGTCTCATCAATTAGTATCATGCCAACTCCACCTGCATTTTTCACTATCTTGCTCTTTTGCACCTTTGACTCCGTTGAACTCTCTACATGTCTACACACCAGAACCTTGCCTTTGCTCTTTGTTTTATTCAGAGAACTCTCCAAACAGTAACTACAGAAGGAATAAAAGAGAGCAAAATATAACTTGAGAGTCATCTTTTGCATTGATTTTTAGGTAGCTCTCACTTTAAGTACCTTGCTTCACCTGGATTGATAAGGAGTAAAGTATCCTCCATTGGCTACAGAAGCAGAAATTATCCTTGTGGAGGCATTCATTTCAAAGAGACTGAGACTTTCACCCTGTTTCATCATGGAAAACTAATCAGGGTCCTCACAGTGTGCCAAAAAGCTAGTATTAAAATAAATTCAGGTTTAATTTTTTTTTTTAAACTACCTATTTAAATTTTGGATTTTGCTAACCAGTGTCATGAGAATACCGGTTAAGAAATTAATAAATACAATTTTTAATTAAAATTCATGGTGAGAGTACATTGGAGATTATGATGGAAGTACATTGGTAGCACTTTCAAAAGTTTTCTACTTTTGATTACTTAACCTGTCAGCATTTTCCTTAAATTTAATTCATTTTTAACTTAAAAATTATAAAAGTCATATACTTTTAATCTCTAGTGACAGGTTAAAAATGTAGTAGTGTTTTTGTTGAATGTAACAACTAAAAGCTAATAAAATTTGTAGAGACTAAAACAAAAAAAGTCACATTTTGCAAACAGTTAAATAAGTTTTACCATGATTTTAGCACCATTTCCCAAAATGACATCTGAAGTGAAATCCCTATCTGTTGAGCTGGCAGCAACAGTGAGCATCCATGGTGCAAGGTTAGTGGCAGAAGCAGCACTCCCTTCATTTCCAGCCGATGCAACGACCAGCACCCCACGACTAGCAGCATGAAATGACCCCACAGAAATGGCATCACTGAAATAGTCTCCTTGGGGTGATTCAGCACCCAGAGATAGAGACAAAATGTGAACCCCATCTCTTATGGCATCATCAAAAGCAGCCAACAAGTCCACATCATAGCAACCTGAGTCCCAACATGTCTTGTACACAGCAATTCTGGCCAATGGTGCACCTCCTCTTGCTCCTCCACCAGCCAGACCCTTGTAATTCATGTTTGCCACATACCTCCCTGCAGCTATAGAGGCTGTGTGGCTTCCATGGCCAGTGCTGTCCCTTGCAGATCTGAAGGAGATTTTTGCATCTGACTCTTCCTCAGCCTCATATCCACTCATGTAGTATCTAGCTCCAATCACTTTCCTGTTCCACAAATTGTTAACCATTCAAGATGACTTAGGACCTGTTTGGTATCTGATGAGAATATGAATCAGCATCTATTATTTGAGTTTATTTCAGATTAATGGAGCATTATTAGAATTCTTACGGTTATGAATTTTAATTATAGGAATTATAGGTATTGTTACACTTTTATGAGTATTTACATTTGTCGTTTAGTTTTACGTTTATGTGCAGAATTTGTATCAGTGTGTTTTATGTATTTAAAGGTTGCAAGTATGAATAAAATATACGAGTTTCAGCCTTCTAATTTTTCTGAATTCCTACTGTATCCCATCGTGTCAAAATAGACTCAAGTCTGAAAGTCATGTCAAAGGCAAAGCCACAAGGAGTAGCTTCATATTTCGGCCTTTTTTAACATGGAATTGGTGTTGGATGTGATTCAAAGTTGCGGTTCCAAACATACACTTAGTGTGTGTATAGTTTGTAGTTGTCACAACTTTCAAAACACTTCATCGGACAAGTTTGTGTCTTGTTGTTTTGGATTAAACTGAGGTTTGAGCATTTCAAAGGTAAAACTAAACACACTATTAATCAACAGGGTAATGAAACTAGACAAGGATAAGGTTCATCCACAAACCTGTTGCAAGATGAGGCATTGAATGCCTCTCCTTGTTGACATTTGCCCTTCCAGCCAGGTGGCACTGCAGGCATGTCGGTGTCACTGAAGCTTGGGGATTCTGGCCAAATTCCTGAGTGAATAGTGATTATGAACATAACTCATTATCATTCCCATTTATCATCAAAATCCAAGTAATTAAGGTTGACATCCAAGTGTAGTATTTTAAGCATGCAGTGCCTAAAGTCCTATGCCATTTTTTCAACTAATTTCAATGAATAATTTAGGGTGTGCAAAAGGTATGTTTTTGAGGGAATTATACCAACTGCAAACAGGAGATGAATAAAGTAGTATATTTTGGTTCTATTTTAGCTCTGTACAGAAGATGATTTAATTCACTGAGAGTTCACCACTAGTACGAATTTGACTACCATAGCAATGTCACTTGAAGTCCAATTTCCAAGGTTATTAATTATACTTTCCTTATGGCTGTTACTGCTAAAAGGAGAGGAATAAAGGGACTGAGACTCTGCCACTAAAGTAATAAATGAAGTGTGGAAGTGAAGATTCTTGTGAACCGACGAATAAATGCAATTATGATACATAGAAGTTTTCAACTTATCATCAAGGCCGAAACTTTCAGCAAAATGGTCAAGACTGCTCACCAGTATCAATGAAACCAATGATGATGTTTTCTTGGTTTCTGATGGAGTAACCAAGAGTCTCCATGGTTTGGTCATCCAAAAGTCCCATGAAATCCCATGAATGAGTTGTGTGCAGCTTTCTCTTAGAATTGGGAAAAACAGAAACCACTCCTGGCATTTCTGGTTAAATTGAAACATACAAGTTACACAGCCATCAATTTCTAGGCCTAAGTAAATCAAGCAACATTACTAGCAAAACAATTGGATAATTCAAACATTTATAAATTGAGAAAAGGAAAAAAAAATAATAAAATAAGGAAATTTCCTCTCACTTACTAGAAATTTGGGAAGCCTGTTCATCACTGAGCTTGGCTGCAAAGCCTCTAAAAGCATGTTTATAGCTATAAACATGAGATGCTTGAGCTTGTTCAATGCTGTCAAAACAAAACATCACAATGGGAAAAATGAGAAAAACCACTTATTTGAAACAAGGGGTGACTAAAAAAGTGCAAATAGCTGAAAGACCAGCAGAATTTGCCAAGAAAAGAAAAAGTGATCTTATCTCTGACCTTCCACTGTGAACAGAAGCAAGCATTTGATGATTTTCCTTCAGAATATCATCTGGGTGTTCCCCACTTTTGCTTCCCATGTACACTACATAAACCTGCCATCAAATCCACATTCTACAGTTCACTCAAGAAACCCAAAAACCAGTGATCACCATAGCCAAAAATGCTACACAAAGACACCACTGTTTGACTTTACCTTGGTGGAAAAACAAAAGCTAACTTTTGCAACCAGCACAGCGAGAAACAGAAAAAACAAAGCACTGCTTGTGGCATAACCAGAAGAAGACATTGTCAAAGTCTCAACCTTTGGTCACTAAAACCAGTGTATCAGCATATATATAGTGATAGCAACAAGGATGCAGGAAACAAGAACCGGGTTCTATAAATAAAGATAAGAGTGGTAACCATCAACCAAAACAAATAATAATAAAAGAAAACCCTGATAGAAAAAGAGACTGAGGTATCATATTGGTGTGTGACATGAGTTAATGTTCAACAAGGTTGGATTTTTATTTTATATATAAGACAACAAAAAGAGATGAATGCAATGAGAAAACATGGGGTAGTAGTGGTGGCAATAAGCAAAGAGGCAAAGGCTAGTAGCACTAGTAGTGAGTAAAGGGTGTTATAGATGATGACTAAGAGAGAGAGAGTGAGAGAGAGAGAAAGGGACTAATGCTTTTGTAACGATGCCAAGCAAATACAAAGCATCCATGTTTTTTTTGTCTACTCAAATGTCAATATGACCCTTTTATTCCGGAGACTGTTAAAAGCAATGTAATTCATCACACTCAATGGGGGCATGTGACCTTCCTTATGTGTGTGTTGATTTGATTCATTATTTTTAGCAGAGAAAAAGAAAAACAAAGAGTATCTTATCTGATCTAATCTAATTAATAGGTAGTGATGTAAAATTTGTCACTTGCGGAGTGTTCCATCAATAAATAATTGAGTGGTGGTATATGTCTCAAATCCCAATGCCAAGGGTGAGATTCCAAGATATACTATAGCAAACTCATTCTCATGCTCTTCCTCTTGGGATTTTTAGATATCACACAAGCTGTTGAAACCACAAGAGACAAATACGCCAACAAAAGCAACTTCATATGGAGAAATCATGCCAATGACAGCGAAATACCAACCCAAAACGGTAACTTAATAAGTTAAATTCTAATCAATTTTATCAAAATGTTTTTGTTTTTCAAAATATTTTAACTACTAATGATTTAAAAATGACAAGACTTCAATAATTTTTTTATTATCATATTATACACCTTTTGATTTTAATTCCCAATTTTATTTTTTTTTTGGATGATTTTGTTCTCTATTAGTTATTTGCGTAGTTTTTTTTATATAGATAACAAATATTGAAAAATAGATATAATAATATTATATAAATAATATGAAATTACATCAATATTTTCAGATATAAGAGACTTATATAAATAATTTGCTATCATATAGATAACTTTAGGGATTAAGATCGAAAATAAAAAAGTTTAATTTTATTTTTTATTTATTTAATATTATAATTGTACGATTTTAATTTTTAAAATTTTAATTGAACAACTTGTTTATCAATTATCACAAGTATGTGATTTTGATTTTCTAAATTATAATTAAATAATTTTAATCTTTTAAGTATCATAATTATATGATTTTAATCATTTAAATATTATAATTATACAAATTTTAACTTATTTAAGTTATATACATTATAATTTTCACTTATATATATATATATAT